ATATACCAGTGTCGTTAATTGCCGGGCTTACCTAATTTGAGTTTTATATTCTAATGAATTACAGTTCGTTTTTGATTGCCACTTCAATGCCACAGTCGTCAATCGGGTATTTGCCATGTAGTTAAATTCAATACTTTTTTCGAACTGTCAAAAACGATAGTTTTCTATGAATTGTGTACGGGATTGTGTGTATTGTGACGTCAAGTTTTTCTAGCGTCAAACAGCGTACTTATTTCCTAAAAATTTGCTGGAAAAATACTAAAATTAAGTTGGTCATAAAATCAAATAATGAAAGGTTGATTATTTGTTAATATTTTATTGAATAATATAAATAAAAGTATAAATTAAATAAAAGTCGAAATAATTTATTTTTGATTTACGAATGGGTACTTTAATTGTTGCTGGGTTTAATTTAAACTCTATGATTGAGTATTTTAGTCGGATTTTGACTGTCAGTACCTAGTTTCGGTAGATGTACATTTATAGTAGATATGTATAGAAAATGTAATAGAAAACCTGTCTATTGTCGTGCGAATACGGATTATTTTGCCATAAAACTGATAAAATGATATTGTAATTTGTAAGTGAGGCCACCTTTGTATTGTAAAGTCTACCTTAATCATTTTACACATAACATAACATCACGCCTTTTATCCCCGAAGGGGTAGGCAAAGGTACACATTATGCCACTGTACAATGTAACACCCACTTTTCACTATTTATGTTATGAGTCCCATGTAATAGGGGGTGAACCTATTGCCATATATCGGGCACAATTCCAGACTCAATAACTGTCAAATGTCAATTATATTCTTTAGTAAGCTAAGTATTAACTGAAGATTGAACAATCGGCCCTTAGTATTTAAATCTGGAGAACAGATGAAAGTCGCTCCATATAAAAATACTGACATTATGGCAGTGTGCACAACAACAAAAAATACGTGTGTATTGTCTATTCAAAGTCAAAAGTCAAAGTCAAAATCATTTATTTCAATTAGGCCAGAATGGCACTTTTGAACGTCAACAAAAACAAAAATTTAAAGTGAAGCTATTTGCTCATTCCAAGGCGTAGATTCCTATGGAGAAGAACGAGCAAGAAACTCCATATTACTCCATATTATCAACTACAACGTCAGATCATATCTAAATGTCAAATACGAAAAAAAAAACGCTTGACAACGGCAACAACCGTTCGTAATCGTTGTTACTATTCAGATAGTTTAAGTTATTGTTAGTTTTATTAAATGTTGTTTTAAAGGAGATTACGCGCGAGGGTGTGAGGCCGGGCCTCCGCTTGGGGTCGTAATGGTGACCTCCCAGTATCTTATCTTCAAGTTCTCCGTATAATATGTTCCACTACAATAATATTTGTGATAGAGTGTCGTTTGTGCTCCACAGATAAGCTTAAAGAAGGTTGAGTTCGTAGTGATTTTTTGAATGACGACTTTTTGCGAAGTTTAAGGATCTCTTTCACAATATCTGTGCCTTTAGCCAAACGCTACTTTAGCGCTTGTCTAGAGAAAGAAATCCAAATGTATGGGAATGACACTGACAAGTGTCAAAATTGACGTCAATCCCATATAATTTAGTTTTCTACTCTACAAGTAGACAAGCGCTAAATGGCATTTGGCTACAGCTACAGCTGCTGGATAGCCGTTATCTACCAGATAAATTTGAATTAAGAACGTAATTTGTATGAACTATCGGTCACATAAGTTTATCAGGTAATTATATAGAGGTGAAACCGGCATTAAATATTGTAATTTATTGTCAACAACAAAAAATATTGTCAGTTTATTGTTTTTGCTGAGCCTAACTTCACTGGCAGACAAACGGACGGTTAATTTCATTTTGACACTTCAAAAGTGATTAAGGATTAATTGAAATAAATACCTTGACTTTGAATTTAATTAATTACTTAGTATCTATTAAGCCGCGGATGCTGGGGCTCCGGCTCGAAGTGCAGGAGTAGGAACGTGGTGGTTTTAGTCAGTAAGAGTCTGACACTCCCTCCCGCCTCACCCAGGCGGGAGAAGTCATTCGATGATTTTCCCCCCTTAAAAAAAGTATCTACTAAAATAGTTTGTGAGTATTGATTTAAAAAGACTGTTGCAATCATCCCAAAAAAACCGTTAAGTATGGATGACAACCATGCACTTGCAGTTTGCAGAGTAGAACTACTTATTTGCATCCAACCTTACTAGTAAATTTTTTTCGTGTATCGTAAGAGAAAGTGTCTCTTAGTGAAAGGGACTACCTATAAAACAGAAAAATAGCGACAAACATTATCTAATAATTAAAGTTTAAACTGTGACTTTAAACCGTTTGCCAAGGGTGGAAAACGAACTGACGTGTTAAAAATTTACCTACGCATTTTATTTTTAATCCCTGACAGTCCCGTTGGGTTGGGTTACTGGGTTTTTTAAAAATCTCAGTAGTTACACGTGGTCTGGAATTATGTTTGGTATATCGCAATGGGCTCGCCCCCTATTACATGGGACTCATAACATAAATAGTGAAAACTGGGTGTTTACATTGTACAGTGGCATTAAATGCCGTAATGTGCACTTCTGCACATTCGGGGATAAAAAGGCGTGATGTTATGTTATGTTTTCTTTAATCTTCTTTAATTCTCTTTCGAGTTTATAGTAACAAGTGAATGTTTTATTAAGCAATAGTGACATTATATCATCGTTAGTATAATAATGTTTACTTAAACTACATGTAAGATATACCTACGAATACTTATCAATAAACTTGTATTTGTATTGTACCGTGTTCAAAAACGTGTGCACAGCTGTGTTGTGTGTAGTGTGCAACGACCTTATGTCAACTGACTGACAGTCTTCTGTATTATCTATGGTATTATTATAAAGAGGATACAATTGTTTGTTTACACCGATTTTTAGAAAATTACTTAATATAGTGTGTTTCATAAATATCGTTTTTCGTCCGGCTGTAGGTAACTATTCGTTAGGTTGTGTTTTGTAATTTTTCTTAGAGTCAAACACATTAAAAAGGTAGAAAAATTAATAGAATGACTTACAGCCGAAATTATTAAACTTATGTAATCTTAATATCTGTGAATTACAGTCGATCACACATTAATGTTTTCAGAAAAAAAAATATTTAAAAAATAAAATAACGATTTACTAGAACTGCTGGGTCATTTCGATTCTCGGCCTTTCTAGTGTTAATGCACCGACCACACTCTCACTGCATCACCTAAAGGCTGGCTAGTAAGAATGCCCATGGCATTAAGCCCACTCCTGTACACTTAATGCAATAAGTTCAATAAATAAAAAAAAAAAAAAAAAAAAAAATTATGCGTGCGAGAGAGCAGCTAGTATTCGACTTCTGACTATAACCTGCATGGTGTAAAATATGCAATCGTGACAGTAGTGGCGTCATGTTGCATCGGTTGCATAGTGCATTCACAATTTACATCATACATAGATGATCAGGTTGCTTACAAGGCCTATGTAAACCTGTTTTTATGTAGAATGTAATTTTATTGTTACTAGGCCAACACGTGGGTGAATGAGGACAAATATTCCATGTTTTGTAAGTACTTAGAAAATACCTTTCGAATTGTCCTTGCTTATAATTATCGGTGAGTGATGATTTTTATAGGTGCCTAGGTATCGTTATACGGTTATATCAATACTAAAGCAGGATAAAATAAATATTTAAGAGGCTACAAACGTGGTTTTTAAGTAACGGTTTTATAGATTGTTATTGATTACGGAGTACGCGAGTCGAGTTGCATGATTTTTTATGTATGCTTTTGATACCCTTTTATTAATTTGGATAATTACCACTATTTCTCATAACAGTCTTGCCACCTACCACATACATTTCTGCACTACCCAAAGGATGACTGGCAGAGAATGCTGTTAGCATTAAGTCTTCCTTATGCAATTGTATAAAACTTAAATAAATAATTGTTTTAAGTTTTGATTTTAGTTAAAGATACGTAGGTATGATATAATATCCTAAAAATATACTACGTCAACGCAATAACAATGTTTACAATTAGATGATTGATAAATGACCGTTCATCTTTGGATTGATCAAAGTTTGTGACAGAAACTGTTTAGAACTGACATCAAAAAGGTTATTTTTAGATCAGCTGGGCTATTCTATAACTTAAAATTTAAAATATCGTCCGCCATCATGTCATTGGTAGGGAAAATAATCTCGACCAATGACGGCCAAGAATGCGAACGAGATCGATTTCAAAATTCGAATAGACAGTTACACAATAGCCTAGCAGAAGCGAAAGTCAGCTGAAAAACACATCCAGACCACAACATAAAACAAAATCACTATCCCCGTCTGTCTGTCCCTATGTATGCTTACATTTTTAAAACTACGCGACGGATTTTGATGCAGTTTTTTTTAATAGATAGAATGATTCTTAAGGAAGTGCGAAGCCGGGGCGGGTCGCTAGTTAAAAATAAAATAAAAATGGTCACTTACTTTTTAGTTATTCGGGATAATAGGAACACCATTTTGACTGCTTCTACTTCTCTGGTACTTCTTCAATTGTTTTTGTAATCTGTAACAAGGTAAGAGGTTATTTAAAAATGTGTTAAAATGAATTTATTCTGACTAATCTAGGTGCATACTTACTTGGAGGACTCGAAACGAAACTATGTATGTGTCTCTAGCTCTACTATGGACATCTCAATGGTTATTCATCGCAGAGGTAACAGACAGGTAGATGAGAGGTAGCAAACAAACAAAAAAAAACAATAACAGTGCCCAACAATTACCCACGCGGTATAACTTCGGTCTACGGACACAGGTAGGTACCACTTACTTATTTACAACAATGTTTCGCCCTATTCATTCCCCTATAAGATTCACGACTTAGAGACAGTGTCAAATGTGTTTTTTGTTTTATAGCAGGAACCGGTAAACGAGCAGACGGATCATCATCGGTATGCAATCGGCGCCGCCCATGGACACCCGAAACACCAAGGCGTTATAAGTGCGTTTTGGGAATTGGGAATTTGAGGATTGTGGAGGATTCCGGGATTCGGGAGACCAGGGAGGGGGTGAAACATAACGAAAGCATTGTTTCACGTCGGTTTTCTGCTCGGCCGTGGTATCACTCCGGTCGAGCCGGCCCATTCGTGCCGAAGCATGGCTCTGCCACACTTTAGTAAAAACTTGACGGTATACGCCCTCTTTGAGTTATTGAGTTATGAAGTCAAAATCTGTGAACCGATACATATCATTACCGGCTTACTGCTAATATTCCTATGTTTCATTATTATAACTGTACTTACTAACTATGCTATCGCAATAGCGAGCTGTACAGATTGCAAAAAAAAGTAATTTCCACATTCGTACAGACCAAATTCACTGGCAGAAATACATCATGCATATTGCATGATTGAATGTTGAGACCAATATCGTTATCTATCATCCACCATCATAATATTAGCCCAGATTCGATCATACCCACAGAGTATATGTTCATGACCAAAACTCAAGACCAAAGTAACGAAACCATAAAATGCATATTCATTAATTTAGTTCAATTTTTATAACTAGATGGCGTTGCCGCGATTAAATGCAAGCTATGGTTTCGTTACATCGATTTGCTTAAGATGGTCATTTTTTAAAAAACAGTATAAAACCTTTCTCGGTTTTTCTACCAGAGTTCTCGGTATTGCGCTAACCTCGACCATTTCTTTCTAGATTTTTTTGAATAGGCGTTGCCCCACTAGGATTTTCTCCTGTGTGTGTGTGGTGGTGAGTTTACAAACATACAAGTTAACATACACATGACACCCAGACCCGAAACGACAATTTGTGGATCGCACAAAGAGTTGTTCCGTTCGAGAATCGAACCCGCGACACATTGCGCGGTAACCGTGCAGCTGAGGCTAATAAACCACTAATTAAACATTTACGATAATCTCAAATGAGGCTCACAGTACACAGCTAGGGTCAAACCTGCACCGAAATACCCTAATGGAAATCCGATAATAGGGGTAGGCACTGACCGGATTTAAGCTGGAACTAGCCGGAGTATGGACGCGCCGCTAATCAATTGAATTAATCGTGCCGGTGCGTGGTGGACGGCATTTTAGTAAAAATTCTGCAACGTTGGACATCAGAAATGCTCTTATGGTGTCACATAGCTTTTAAGGTTAAAAATAATGATTTTATATTGACTTATTTATAATGATTTTATATACTTATTTTACTGGGCTTTTAAAAACTCTCAGTAGTAGCACGGAGTCTGGAATTGTGCCCGGTATATGGCAATAGGCTCACCCCCTATTACATGGGACTCGTAACATAAATAGGGAAAAGTGGGTGTTACATTGTACAGTGGCATTAAGTGCCGTAATTTGCACCTCTGCCTGCCCCTTCGGGGATAAAAGGCGTGATGTGATGTTATGTTATGTTATTGACTTATTTATGTTACGTTTGACATGCACTTATTTGTAGTATAGTGCTCTCACAATATGTCAGACAGTTGTATAAAACATACCGCATTCATTCGCATTATCGGTAGTTATTCATAAATCGTAACCACAAAACTGCCCAGCAACATCATCTAAGCTTTCAGAGACCTAGGTAAGTTTTTGCGATCCCCAAGGCGTTTGTCAAGGGCGGGGATTATAGTAAACTTTTCTGTAGAAATGACACAACTTTTTCATATTCTTGGTGATGAGGATAAAAAAAACTTACGCGCGTATACTGAAAGGCTACTTACTGTTAAGTTGTACTTAATAAGGTTGATGATAGGGTATTAAAATTTAAAAATGTAATTAGTCCGTAAGTTAAGTAATGAAAAAATATTAGACACGTATTTTTTTATTTTGTCGTATAGTAAAACAATACTTAGATAAAACGAATCAAAGTTTAGGAGTGGGGGCTAAAACGTCATTTCTACGTATAAAATGTACATAGAAGTCACGTCGCGCGACATTTCAAATCAAAATATCGTGGAAAGTAATCGTTTCTGTAAGAAAATAAAAAATACGTGTCTAATGCTTTAAAATAATCTACCAGACGGACATTAAAATAAAAATTAGGCATCTACCCTATTATCGTGCCATCTCTGTTACTTTACATAGAATTTGTACTGACAGAACTATAATTAAGTGCGACTTAACTGAGTAGCCTTTTATTATTCGGGCTAATCAATGATTACATCGTCGAATCATATATCTAGTTTGTACGTTGTCTATCGAAGAAAGTCCGTACTAATTTAGATTTGGCAGCTCATCAGCTGTTTATTTATGAACCTCCCTCGGTGTGACACAGTGACACAGAATGATAGTCTATTGTTTATAATCGTTTCCGACTGCATTAATTATGAGAATTTGGTTTCATAGCAGTGCATGAGGGCAAAGGAGTTGCCAAGCTGTCAAGATATCTTGAGCTGTAACGGGGTTGGGAAATATTATTTGGCTTTTCGAAAACAGTAACATAGTTTGGGATCAAATTTGAATGCAGGGAGTTGGTCCTTTTTTTTTGTTGATGGGGGGAAACCTTCCAAAGGCGCCTAGCTTTTTGGGGAAAAAGACTAAGGAGTGTGGTATTTTTACCTCACTAAAATCTTCCCGGTGGCCACCATCCGCACTTGAAGGAGGCACCGGGTCTTAGTAGACCAACTCCGGAGCCCCCACAGTGCAACGCCTGTTACGTCACCTCCCTATGGAGACCTATGTGTCTCTCCTAGAGCCTCTCTGTGCACTGCACGGCGGCACGTGACGCCTGTGCCGCCGTCATCCTTGAGGTCATCTATTCGCCCATGACCCCAAAGGTTTGCCTACCAATATTGTGAGCAGGAAATCAACATATTAGGCGCCGCGGCGGTTATCGACGTTACGACGTGCGAGATCGGCCCTCTCACGATCCCGCTCAGCAGCCTCCTTTTGGGACATACTTGGGGTCCTCCTTTTGGGAGTTGATCCTTAGATCCTTATGTTCCGACGCGTGTATAGTGGTTGTATAAATCACTGACCATGATCACAAGACAGCTATTGACAGATAGCTATTGGTAGTTGAAATTAACAGCTCTGTGAGTAGGGGCAGTGGGACTTAAAGAGAGTGTTTTTGGAATGGAACTTTTATACTCTAGCCTAGGAGTAGTTCTTACAGCAACTACATAATTAGGATAAAAAATAATAATCATCAAAATTGAATATCAATATTTATAATAAAATAATTTAAATACGTAGCGCTGTGACCCGGAAATATTAAATGGCTTAATGTCAACAGACAAGGAATTCTCGTCTAAAAGGTTAAATATTATTTTTAACTCGTTTCTCAAACAGCAGTATAAATTATGGTTTCAAACGTATTGGATTTTAATATCCTTTCCTGTGCTATACTCTACAGATGGGGCCAAACAGAGCTGATACCGATGCCGATACGGAGCCGCGGAGAACGTAACGGGTTACCGGAGCTCCGGCTCGAAGTGCAGGACTAGGAACAGGGTGGTTTTTAGTTAGTAAGGGTCTGACCTCTCTCTCGCCTTTCCCGGGCGGGAAAAGTCATTGGATGACTTTCTATCCTCATAAAAAAATCCTAGTCTAATCTACTGCGCTTGGAGTTTCGTCAAAAATTGCTTGCTCTCTGTCAAAATTTTAAGAAAAGAGTGTTATGTTATGGGTGATTTTGTCACATAAGGCAACGAGTTGTAATTTAAGAAAACTTTAATCCGATTCGACCCACGGAAGCCAACGAGTCGACAACTCCTGAGGATGCTCCGTGGAGGAGTGAAACATAATATGTCGAGAATGGTGCGAGTGGTTTGTTGCGTGGCGTGTGTGTATTTTGTGTAGTATCTCTGTTGCATGAGCGATTATCTGCGGGCCGGAGGGCGGTGCTGTATACTGCATGCTGCAAAATCATTCCTTCAGCAGATCATAAACTATTTCCCAGTTGTTTGTGTAGCATGGAATTCCCCAAAGTAACGCCTGACTTCGTTCTATATAAACTTTGATTAAAATAATATATTGCGCGGTGGTCTGGAGGACGCCCGCTTCTCATGCATGAGGGTGCGGGTTCGAAACCTACCAACGACAAGTACCAATGCGACTTTTACCGAGTTATATGTACTTTCTAAGATTATTTAGACACCTCTAACAAACGGTGTAGGAGACAATCGTGGAGAAACCTGGGCTTATAATTTCTAATTATAAGTTTGAAATCGCCAACCCACATTGAGCAAGCGTGGTGATTAATGCTCAAACCTTTTCCGTGTGAGAAGAGGCTTTGTTCAGCAGTGGGCATTATAGGCTGTGTGAAATAATATATTATAGTGAACCGAAAATTGTGGACAATTTCAGAAATTAATACTAATTGTTACACGTAAGGTTCCTATCATATATATATATTGGTTTAGCTACCTGTCTATGCGACACTTTACGATCGGACCTTGATTGTAACAACGTATTGTTTACTATATCTACTATATCTATGTAGACATGTAGCACGTAACTAGCTTTTGTCCCGACAGGCAGGGACTACAAGCCGCCAAGCTAACACCAACGATACTCAATTTCCTTGCAACGTCTATCATCTAGCTAGTATAAGGCTTTTTGAAGATGAGCTAGCTGTTACCTAGCTATTTTAAAGATTAAATTTATCACCTTTTTTATGGCATAAGCCGTTAAACGAGCAGACGGATCACCTGATGGTAAGCAATCGGCGTCGCCCATGGACACCAGGAACACCAGAGGCGTTACAAGTGCTACCGGCTTTTTGGGCATTAGGAGTTTGAGGATCGTTGGGGATTTAGGGATTGGGGAGATTGGGGAAGGGGAGGGTAATTGGAGCTCCGGTAACCTCACTCACACGACGAAACACAACGCAAGCATTGCTTCACGTCGGTTTTCTGTGAGGCCGTGGTATCACTCCGGTCGAGCCGGTCCATTCGTGCCGAAGCATGGCTCTCCCACACCTAAAACTTTATAGTTCTGTCCTTTACTGTACATAGTAGGTAGCTAACTATAGGTACATACATATACAATATATAAATGCTGATAAGATAATGCTCTACATGTGGTACATATCTTGTTCTAATCCGGGCTATGACTTTGAAATCTGTCATATCAATGAGATGACTCAAAGGCCGATTGGCTTTTCTATACTTATATCATTGTTCCGTAACTAGGTCGGTAATTCTCTATTGTTTTATGGAAATTTCCGAATATATCATTATAATGCTGCGTTGAAGAATATGATCGGCTTGAAGTTTGGTAGCCTGTGTCTGGGGTATAATTTCAACTTACTAACTAATCGTTGTGATACACGGGACAATATAAAGTCAATTACCTACTTATTCTGATTATTCCAAGGGTTTTATTTTATGCAGAAATTAATACTGATCTTTTGTAAACGCATAGGAAAATAACATAACATAACATCACGCCTTTTTATCCCCAAAGGGGTAAGGAGAGGTGTACATTACGTCACTAATGCCACTGTACAACGTAACACCCACTTTTCACTACTTATGTTATGAGTCCCATGTAATAGGGGGTGAGCCTATTGCCATATACCGGGCACAGTTCCAGACTCCGTGCTACTACTGAGACTTTTTGAAAACGCCCAGTAATACTTTGCCCGACTGGGAATCGAACCCGATGCCCCTTGCCCGGCAGTCGCAATTGACTTTGAATCCAAAGATTTCGCGAGAAGAGATCGAGATCGGGTACCTAATTCTTCATGTACGATCCTCTATTTACAATACATACACTTACTTCTTTTTTGACAGTTTGAGTTGACACATCTTTTAAATTCGATTTTTGAAATTCTCAGTATTACCATATAAAAATAATATTATCAATTTTACGGCAGTATTGCAACTTATTGCACATACATACATGAATAACGAAACATGGACATACTTAACATGATTTGTAAAGAATAAAGACACATAATGATGACTCCTTCGGGGCGTCGGGGAAATACAGTCTTTATATTACACAAACTTTATAATACTATCTTATCATTAATAAAGTACATATTTGTGTCAAGCAGTGTACAGGCAAATTGTTTGATGACGTCACAATGTTGTTTAGATTTTTGAATAAAAAATACGCATTGGCAAATTGTGGTTATCAGTTTATCTGGTAGGAAGTAAGCCTTGGTGCTTGTATTGTGACATGTGGCGATAAAGAATGAAGCTGTGTGGCCATGATACTTTGGAGGCTGTTTGTGTTGGAATATTTTGGGTTTAAATTGCGATTTCCCGAAGGCAAATGTTAAAGATTACTTATAGCAAGTAATCTTCTTCATTCATTCATCATCATCATTCATCAACAGCCTATAAATGCCCACTGCTGAGCACATCCTCTTCTCATATGGAGAAGGTTAGAGCATTAATCACCACGCTTGCTTAATGTGGGTTGGCGATTCTAAACTTATAATTAGGAATTATAAGCCCAGGTTTCCTCACGACGTTTTCCTTCACCGTTTGTCAGTGGTGTTTAGATAATCTTAGAAAGTACATATAACTCGGAAAATGTACAATGTGCCAACGGGAAGCTGTCGGTAGGTTTTGAATTAGATACTTTATATTTATCAATTTTGAAATCGAATGCAATTAAAATATGTCCGTCAAATTAGATCAACCTTTTCACCCGGATTTGTGCAATAATTATTTACTGATTACGTTTTAAAATGATCTGTTTTAATTATACACATAGTTAGTTTTTCTCGCTGCGGCTTATCAGTGACTCGTGGAATATTTGTAAGTAATTTATTTTTAGCTTGACATAATTAATAATAAACATTGCGGTTGTTATTATATGAAAGAGTAGGCACGACTGATAAAATGCGAGTCTCTAATCACATTTTTTTATGTCTACGAATTTGATTTTACTTTTTTTATGGCATAGAGGCAAAAGGTGAACAACTTCACTATAGGAATTGTATTTCAAGTGCGTTGTTGTCCGTGTCATAGATTGGGACTTTGGTAGGATTTAGAAATAAAACGGTCGACTTGGGCCTAAGGCCGTCTTTAGGATCTTACCATGCTCACATTCGATACTGCACAAAGTGAACATTTCTAAGTCACACTGACATTTACCTACTTCAAATAAATTATGAATATTTTTATTTTGAAAATCATAAAAACAATTTTCATTTACAAATAATTTATTCACACGTTACTGTCCACAGATAAACAAGAAAAATGACTTAAAATCCAAAGAATTTCACGTCATTTTTCACTAAATCATGTTTATATTCGAAAATATACGAGCTACTAGAATCCTGGGAGAACTATTTGCTTATAGAAGCACTCAGCGTTCTCTAGGCTGGTACTTCAACGGTACTTTAGTGGCAAAATGGTACCCTTGAGAATATCAACACAACTTTTGCATTGATGGATAATATACAAGTATTTAAGTAGGTATATCGAAAGAAGACATGTTGAATGAGTGCATTGTTTATGGTATTTTTAAAAATGTTGATTTTGACGTTTTGTTTTTTTTTATTATTTTTAAACTGTCTGTGGGACACACTTGTTCCGTTTATTAAAATTATTTTTTATTGTTTCATATAATTTGTCACTTATTGTTATTTAGCTACCCAAGTATGTGTGGGTAATTAACAATAAGTTAGTAATTTACTATGTGTATAAAGAATTATTTTATGTCCAGTGTTCACTTTTCTACTTATTGCTTTCTTATTTCATTCAATTATGTAGATATACCTATATATGTATTCTAAACGTAGCGGATGAAGAAAGAAAAGTTGAGGAAGAGAACAAAAAATATTTGAAATCAAAAACTGCCTATTTATTTGAAATATTAAAGTCATTGGGCAGATGAGACAGGAAAAATGTATGCCTAAAACAACAAAGCTGCTTATTTTTTTACACAATTCATAATGACTATCAAGAAACATCAGTCAATCACATCAAGGACAGAAAGTAAAGAACGAAAATAAAATCTTACGCAATTTTATAAAAACAAAAGACATGTATGCGATTCATAAAGATATCCACACGTTACAAATATTTTTATCTATTGCTAAAATGCGAAAATGTTTTTGTTTGTTTGCATTATAAATAGGTTCCTATTCTTATTTCGCATCAAAACAGAGCGACAAAGAGACAATGACTGGATGAGGAGATAGTTTAAAGTTCGACATACGACATAAACTAAAATTAATTTAATCTTTACAGAGACTGCCTTATTCCTTCGGGAGAATACAACACCGCCATCTATCGTCGACGAGCAAAACTGTACTCCTCCATCTATGGACTGCTATTTCAAATTCTCGGCCTCATCTAGCGCCCCCTATTAACAGATTTTAACGAACTCTAAACAGAGACAGTACTCCGTATGACACACAAGTACTCTTATGTCTCTATGGTGGCAAATTAACGCGGGAAAAATCGCGTGCAAAAACAAATTCTGATAAATACCTAAAATATGAAGAAATGACAATGAAAAACGCCCCGATAGATAGTGGAAACGTTGTCAACAACTTGGACACGTCATTGCGTTATCTCGTCGCCTCGCTAGTCAATTACATCATGCATGTGTTCGTATCGGGCCTAGTTCGCGACTGGGGGCTCGGCCTGTTGATAAATACGTATAAAGTATAAAAGATTGCCTTTCGAATATATATGTTACAGTTGTTTGTTGGGCAATTTAGTTCGTTTTATTGTAGCGTAGTGTTTAGAGGATGAGTTTTTCTGGGAGGCCAAGATATTATCTGTATTTTTGTTTTCAAGGGAATTTATTATAGGTTTTCTAAGGGTCGGCAAGGCGCATGTTATGCCCCATGTCTTGCAAGCGTTCGGTAACCACAACCGTTTACCATCAGGTGGGCAGTGGAAGTTGCCACCGTCGTATAAAAAAATCTAAAAACTTGACTTAAGCCTAGTACCTACTTTAGTTAATTAAGATAGGTACATAATAATGTACTCTATGTATAATGTACACGATATATCTTAATTACCACACATGTACATCACTCACTGTCACATGAGCATCGTAATTTTAGAGTTTAGGTATGTAAAGAATGTTTAGGCACGAGTCTAGTTTGTCTATAGGTAGTAAGATAGAGAGCAAAGACTGCTTCCACAATTAGAAAAACAAAATATAGTCTATAGCTCGATTCGATTTTGATAGCTATGGTAATTTCGTTATCAAGTTTAGTGTTTAAGAATAACGAAGCCTTATCTATTAAGTACTTAGAATTGTAATTAGGTTTTATTTAATGACGACAATGTTCCTAAAAGTAATTAAGTAATTGATACTCGTAAAATTACTGTTTAATATATGTACTAATTTATTTTCAAGCTAAGTAAAATAGCTTAATATCACTATTACTTTAATAATATAACTATTAAAGCTCTTAATTACAACAATTAGAAAAATATTAAAATCTAATTATAACATAGTCAATACTCAACGGTTATAAGAATTAATTATGATTTATTTTCCGAAAATAATTAGGTGTGTTCTTAATTAAATATACCTAAGTACATAAGTAATGGAGTTTATTATTTTAACCTTTTTTGGTAGTTAAAATTGTCGATGGCCGTGGCAGAATGATTAGATGTTCAGTGACGCAAGATCCGTTCCCGAAAAAAAATGTAGATAAGTGATCCACATTAGCGTTGTCATGAGTGGGGGATTATTTATTTTTAGCATTTTTTAAAATAATTTTTATAGTCTAATAATCTTATTGGTTGAGTGATCCCAAGTATGTGTGTCGAGCTCACATTTTAGGCTTCTAAAATATTATTAAAGTAGTTTAGAAATTCTAAGTTGAACCACATAATCTTGCCCTGTAACCTATATGTGACTCTTGACTTAACGGGCAAAAAGTGGGCGTTGCATTTAATAAGGCCAGTACTATCTGCCTACCCCATCAGCATTTGTTTTTGTAGCAACGATATTGTAATGTATTCCCTCTTTTACTGGGCATAAGTCACTTGGAGTTTTTTTTTAATAAACCAGGACCACAGATCTATAAGGAACTGTCTAAACCGGTTCGAAAAATATCTCGCTTGACTTCTTTTACGTTAGCAGTCGTCGACAGAACAGTTCATCAAGGCATGCGGCTATTGGAAAACTTGATTTATATATTTTATATTTAAAATCACGAATTATTAGTTCTTAAACACATAATGAGTTAAATTATTTGTTAAAATAGACAATTCCTATTTTTTTTTAATAGATTCAACGTAAGAGGTCGTCTGGAAAATATGTTATGAAATCTAGGTTTAATGATGTCTTGTCGGTTAACACATTATATTTCATCATTAACCTGTTTGTTTCATATACTTATTTAATGGACATGGATATGATCGATTAAAATCTCAAGAAATAACAACATTCTCTGAACGAGGAATGAGTAATTGTGTTTATTTGTTACAATCAGGAAATTGTTTGCTATCTCTGTTTACACTGACATTCGTAAACAAGAAGTGTTCACAAAAGATAGTAATATTAAGGGGTAGCGACCGATCTGACATTTAAAACTTGACAGTTCGATGCCACAGGACGAAA